TGACCCTGGCATGGGGTTATGATTGTGTGCACATACAGTAACCCGGGGTGAGGTTGGAAAGCGTTGGGTTCTGGAAATCTCCCCAAACGTAGGTTTAGTGCTCCGGGGTACTTGTACCGTCCAGGAGGAACCGTTCCAGCTTCGCTGGCCTCCAAATTAATCTAAAAATAGAATGAAAATATTTGTTTCAGTTATTAGAAGTGTACAAAAATATTAAGATGAGTTTACTAAAATTCGTATTTTAGACATTTCTTTATTTGTCAATAGATGGCGCATCATTCATGTCTTTCATAAAAAATCTACAATTGTGTGCACCTGAGGTGAAGCTAGAAAGCATGGGTTTTTGAAATGTCCCCTTAACGTTGGTTTAGCGCTCCAGTATTCTTGTACCGTCTGATAGGAGCCATTCCATCTTCGCTGGCCTCCCCTTTAATCTAAAAGTAGAATGAAAATATTTGTTTCAATTATTAGACGTGTACAAAAATATTAAAATGAGTTTTACTAAAGTTCGTATTTTAGATATTTCTTTATTTGTCAATAGATGACGCATCATTCAGTTCTTTCATAAAAAGACTACAATTGTATGCGTCTGATGTGAAGCTAGAAAGCAGGGGTTCTTGAAATGTCCCCTTAACGCCGGTTTAGCGCTTCGGTGTACTTGTACCATCCAAGAGAAACCATTCCATCTTCGCTGGCCTCCCCTTTAAAAATAGAATGAAAATATTTGTTTAAATTATTAGAAGTAGTTGTTGCACTTAAGAAAATATTCAGATGAGTTTCGTTAAAATTCGTATTTTACAAATTTCTTTATCTGTCAATAGATGGCGAATCCTTCGTTTCTTTCATAAAAAGTACATTCTTTTCAGCTAATTATAGTGTTGTATGGGGTTATATTTCTCCAAAACCATTATTATTATTATTATGAGCATCTCTTATGTAAGCTGTGGACAGATTGTCATATTAGATAAAAGTGTGTATAATGATAACATTGAAAAACTTTTAAATGACGGTTTTTATATTGAAATCAAGAAAGATCTTACGAATGTAATACATAATAAAGTAAACACAGTTGTGAAAACCTGCAGCATTTTAACAGTTGATAAACTGATGAACACGTTCATAAAATCAATTATTTAAATTATAATCTGTATAAATAAAAAGGTTAATATTTGTTTATTTACTTAAATTAAAAAATATGAAAGGAATTAATAAAAAAAGCACATTTAATATATTACGTCAGTGATGATTATTGTTGTTTATATATGTGTAAACTTACAGCTGACCCGACGAGTGTACAGTTAGTGATAAAATTACAAAATTATCTTGCACAAAACCTGTCACGGTACGTAAAAATAAATAAATGCAGCTAAAACTAGAATTTAATTTTTTTATTACTTGCATCATTGCATTTCTAGGTTATGTTTTGCAAAAAAAATTCACATTCTAGGTTTATTTTTTAAGAAACATTCAAACCGAATTATTTGTTTGTGATTCGTTGTTCTTTATACAGGGAACTAAATCATTTCATCAAATAAGGAGTTTCTGATCACTTTCTATTAACGTCTGCTGCCATCTACCAGCATACTAGAGAAGTACAATTTCAAATATTATGTGTTGAACAAAGAAAGGTGAAATGCATAGCAACTAGTTGCCTAGTTCACATTAGCACTTGTACTGAAAGATTTGGAGGACTAATCTAGAAAAGTAAAAAGGACAAAATTTCGAAAGTCTTTCGTCTTCATTCGTCTGTACTCTAGAACAAACAAACAAACAAACAAAGTTATTGAACAACGTGTTAAAACAAGATTTGAGAAACCTTTTCTATTGAAAAAAATAATAAAGCCGGGTTTAGTCTTATATTAAAGTGCCGAACTCTAGCTCCGAAGATCCAATGCTCATGTCCCATTATTGCAAAAAAAAAATTCCCTCCGAACTATTGGATGAGTTATCAGAGTAGCACAAGACCCAGAGATGGGTGATGTTGACCACCTGCTTTGCTTCTAATTAGGGACGTGTAGCTTACATCGCCATTTTGTAGCTTTGCGCAACTATCCTAAACAAACATCAGCTACTACATTTCAAATGTAAGAAACCACTTTCTGTGGTTTGCATATGGATTTTCTCTAGGGTTTAAACCCCGTTACTAAAGATCACCTACTACATTTCAAATGTTGAGTGCAAGAAACCACTTTTTATGGTTTATATATGGATTTTCTCTAGGGTTTGAATTCCGTTACTTATATAGAAGTTGATAAAAATGTAGAAACGTTAATTTAATCCTATTCAAACCCGTGTTTCTGCGATATCGCATTTTTAATTGTTACGGGTTTCTTTGTTTCGGTTGATGGAGAAGAATAATCTTACTCCATTTTAATTCTGGTATAAATTTGAAAACTCTATAAACTAATTTCAAAAAAAATATTCTTAATATATTTTTTATATGTTTACTAGAATACACGCAAAGCTACACGATGCCTTAGCCGTCCTTAGTTAGCGATAGACTAGAGGAAAGGCTGCTAGTCAACACCGTCAACCGCCAACTCTTGGTATATTGTATTCATGCAGAATAGTAGGATTTGATTGTCACTCTTATAGTATACCCACTGCTCCTAAGTGCGAGATGTGATGTATCTGTTTATTATTGTTATTTTGCTATAACTGGACTTAAACCACGAAATCTCAGCTTTTATAGTGCGGCGTGCTAAACATTGTGCTGTGTTTGGACCATCTAATAAAATGAAACAATATATGGCTAAGAGATGGCGCTACAGTACCTTCAATAAAATGAACATTACATGCCTTTTATATCTTGTACGGTAATAGATGTTTACCTTGTCTCGTTTTGTTTAGATGGCCGGAAAGTGTCTTGCTTGATTGCATTTC